CGCCCGGCCCCGCCCCGCCCCCTCTCTCTCTCTCCGTCTCCCTCCCCCCAGCTGTCCTGGCAGGCCCGGGGCGCCCGGGTTTACTGCCAGGCACAAGGTCCTTCTAGACGTGGCCAAAAAGCCTACCAAGCCTGTTGGTTGTAGCCGTGCTGACCTAAGGAAATTAAATAAACATTTTTATCTTTTTGTTGCAAAAATCTAATTGGTCTAATAAAAGATATCACCTCCAGCAGGATTCATGATTCCTTTTGCCTTGAGACTCATATGGCCACAACCTGGACACCCATCTAAGGACAGACAGGCAAGGGTCTCTGGGTAGAGGAGAGGTCTTTTATATCTTTGTATTAGTTGGTCTAACAAAAGATATCCCCTCTACTCAATGCACCTTGCCTGCAGAGAAGCCGTGCACCCCGGAAAAGCTTGCACTCCGGGACAGCCTCTAATGAGCAAAGTCTCAGCACTGGCGCTGCAGGTCCATACGCAGAGACGTGCTTGTCACCTCTCAGTGGGGGCGTTAGTAGGGTCTGACTGCCCCATGGCAGAACCAGGGTTAAAAAACTTCCACGCGGATAATTGGGGAAGAAAAGCAGGCTGGTGTCCTTCATGTGGACTGACTCATACTTTGCTCCTGAGTTGTACCAGTGTTTGTCAGGTCAGGGGAGCACTGAATGTTAGGAGTCTTGTTTTCTGTGCCTGGGACCAAAATACGTCCTAGTGGTTACAGACAACCACGCCAAATGTAACACCCGCTGAGTCATCTATTATCACTAAATATGGAAGCCAGTATCTCTGTGACTTAATATAAACAACAGAAGGCAGCTCTTAGAAGGCAAAAAGGTTGCTCTTAGCAGTTTTGTTAGCAGGGAAGAAGGAGCAGTCATAAAGCATGTGCGATTCCTGCTAGTGAAACATGTGGCTAAAAGAAGTGCCTGATTTAGGATCTTCTTCCTGTAAAGCACTGTTGCAAAGTAATTAGATTTTCCCAACTGTGCCTGACAAAACTGTGTCAGCTCTTAGTTCTCTATAAAACTTGAATTATAGTTACTTCCCTAAGGGTAGCACAAGGAGGTCTTCATATGCAATCAAGTGTTTGGTGTTTTTCAGTAGAAGATATAGGATTATACCTGGGCTTGCACTCTTTCCCCTAAGCCAGGGGTTGTCAACCAGGGGTACTTGGGAAAGCCTCAGGGGGTATGCACGGTGGCATGGGGAAGCAGTGCATGGCAGCGTGGAAAGGTGAACGGTGGCAGTGGCTGCTGCATGTAAGCTCCCCGCGCCCCCGCTATCATTCACCACTCTGCACCCCCACCATGCACCACTTCCCCATGCTGCCATGCGGTGCTGGCTTCACATCCGTCCATTCGTCAGCACCCCCCTCCCCGCGGTCTGGAAGGGGATACACTTCAGAAGGGATACCCACCAGAAGGGGTGCACTCCTTTAAAAAGGTTGAGAACCCCTGCCCTAAGCTACAAAATATCACATAGGAGCATAGAAAATTAGGGCTGGAAGGGACCTCAGAAGGTCATTTAGTATCTCTGTGACCAGTGCACAAAGGCAGATTCATCCCTGACTAAACTATCCCAGACAATGTCTGTCTAATTTATCAGGATGGAGATTTTAAAGGTTCTGTAAGTAGGCTCTTCCAATGCTTGAACACTCTCATAATCAGAAAATAAATTACTCCTAATCTCTAACCTGAGTTTCCTCTGCAACAGTTTGAGGGCATTGCTCCTAGTCCTATCCCCTACCTACAGCCACATAAAAGAGGGGATCTCCATCTTCTCCATAATCACCCTTTAAGTATCTGAAAACTGTTATCCAATCTCCCCTCAGTCTTTCTTTCTCCAAACTAAATAGCCCTAGCTCTCTCAGCCTTTCCTCATAAGCCATGCTTCCCAGGCTCCTAATCATTTTTGTTACTCTGTGGTGGACCCTTTCCAACCTCTCCACATCTTTTTTGAAGAGTGGGACCCAAAACTGGACACTACTCCAGGTGAGGTCTCACCAATGCTGAATAGTGCAGAAGAATCACATCCCTTGATTTGCAATTGATATTCCTGTTAATACAACCCAGTATGGTGTTGGTATTTTTTGTGACAAGAGGACACCACTGACTTATATTCAGTTTATGGTCCACTGTAACCTTCAGGTCCTTATCTAGGCTGCAGTACTGCAGCCTAGCTTCTCATTCCCCCATCTGTGTTTGTGCATGCAGGTATTCTGTTCTAATGCAGGAATTTGCACTTGTCCTTGTTCAATAGCATCTGACTGATTGTGGACCATTTTTACAGTCAATCCAGGTCATTCTGTGTTAGGGACCAAGTTGTAGGTGGTCTTGCCTAATGGTTAGGCCATTGACAGAAGGCAGGGGCTGGGTCAGAGTTTGGGAGCCAAATCACCAGGTCTGGAGGGAAAATCCAAGGGCAGAGTCCAAAAACACAGGTCAGGGTCAGGGTCTAGAAATCAGAAGCCAAGTTACCAAGTCTCAGGAATAATCCACAGGTCAAAGTCTGAGAACAGAGCCAAACTGGGGTCAAGAACCAGGAAAGCCAGTGAGCACAGAAACCAGAAGGCTTGCCCAAGTAGACTGGATCAGAACTGTTGGCTGGCCTGGGACTCTGCCGCTAGGGTGGCATGGATGGGCAGCACACTCAGGCACGAATCAGGAAGTCAGTCAGTCACCTGGGCCAGAGCTTGTCAGAGACTTATGGCAGGTGGGGCTGCCCAGGCAATCAACCCAGGCTGGGCTGCCTGGTTAGGGTCCCTGACATTCTAGATCCTAGGCCTACTCTCCAGAGGCTCTGCAACTCCACCCAACTTGATGTCATCTACATATTTGCTAAGGGTGCTCTCAATCCCATCATCCAAATCATTAATAAAGATGTTGAACAGTACCAGACCTAGGACAGATGACTGGGGACCCCCACTAGATTCCTTCTTCCAACTAGACTGAGCCACTGGGGACTACTCATTGAGCACAATGATTCAGCCAGTTTTGTATCCACTTTACCGTACTTTAGCCTAGTCCAGGGCTGGGCAAAATATGGCCCATGAGCTGGACCTGGCCTGCCAGGTGACTCTGTCTGGCCCATGGGGCCCCTCCATAAAACAATTATTACCAGCCCGTGGCTGCCCCTCTGAAAGCCAGTGGGAGGTGGGCTTTCAGAGGTTGCGTGCCATTGGATCAGGCAGGCTTTGTGTTTCCACCTCTGTGGGGCTCCTGGCATTTCATCTGGGAGCCCCATGCAGAGGCACTAAAAGTGATGGCACACTACTGGACAGCTGGTGAGTGGGAAGGAGAGCTCCTGCCTGCAGAAGTGGGGGTGGGGTTTGTGGGTGGGGGTGGGCCCCTCTGCCATGGTGCACAGCTTCTGCTGGCAGTGGCAGCAGCAGGTGGTGGGCCCTCAAGGCTTTCCTGGCCCATTGCAGGCAGAGCCCCCCAGCAGTGCACAACTCTGGCTGAATCCTGAGAGCTGCACATGGTGGCATGCAGCCTGCCCAATCCTGCATGCTGGTGCACACCTTCAAACCAAACAAGGCTGGCTCCATGCCAACACATGGGGCTCCTGACACTGCAGGTGGGAGCTGCGTGCCATTGGGCCAGGCTGATGGTGCAGCTTTGTGCCTCCATGTGGGACTTCTACCACTCCAGTGGGGAGCCGCACATGGTGGCACAGAGCCTGCCTGGACACCCACAAACCCCACAGCCCTTCACAAACCTCACACACACACACCTCCACAAATTCCACCCCTGCCACACACACATAATATGCAAGAATAAAACTTTATTTTGAGCTATTATGTAATGACCTCAATTTACACTAAGCAAATAGATCTAAATCAGGACAAAATATTTTTAAATAAAATTAAAATATGTTATAGTAGATGTTTGATTTTTAGTATATGATTTTTTTTTCAGGTTCCAAGGTGGCAAACTCCCTCTCCTAAAAGGAGTGCTTCTGGCAGTGGGGGGGAGGGTGGACTTCTGGTGGCAAAGGTCAGGCATGACTACTAGCTCTTGGTGAATTAATCAGGGCCACCCTGAGGGTTTATGGGGCCTGGGGCAAGTGTGATGTTGGGGACCCCACCACTGCCCCCTACAAGGACCCCTGTGTGTGTACAAAGCTGAGGGACCACGTGTGAGAATTCTTGCATGCACACATCACATGTAAGAATTCTCACGTGCGACTCCTCCTTCCCTTCCCCTGGGAAGTCAGAACAAGCAGGCTTTCCCCGCTTCTTCTCATTGCAAGGAGGGCTAGGCAGAGAGAATTTACCTTGGAGACAGGTTACTAAAGCAAAATTACATTAACAGTTTGTAAGTGAAACATTTATTAAACTTATGCTACAAAGTTAGGAACTGAAGAATAAAATGAGAAGAGGAAAGTTTAAGTATTTCTTTCTCACCGTCATGAATGCAGTCATCAATTACATCATTATAATGTATTTGCTTTGCAAATGCGTTCTCCACTGAGAGCATGATCAAATGGTTCAGCCTATCCTCCCTGATCGCTGACCACAGGTAGTTCTTAATAATCTCAAGCTTACTAAAAGTGCATTCCCCAGACGCAACAGAGACTGGCAAGG